TTCACGAACCATATCTTAGTTAATTAAGAAAAAAGAAAGAAAAAAAGTTGGTCAAACTATTAGCGTGTAAAGAAGCTGTAAGTTGTGTTGTAGGCAAGTCCCAAAGTATTTATTTGCACATTATTTCTGTCAGGTTAACTAAATGCCATTAAAGATATCAATAATACTAACAATATGTGTACTGTATCTGCTTTGAGCATATGCGTAGCAGTTTGCTTAGTCGAAGTGTGGCTCTTGAATCTAATTAGGGTTTCTGTCTTAAACAGTGGCTAACTAATCGTTATCAAATCATGCTGATAATTCACACCATAGAATTTTTGTCGTATTTTTGGAATGAACAGGATTCCAGCTGATACTGATCCTCGAAGTGCGTTCTACATTGGTCAAGTGATGTTGTGCCATGTCGTCAATTGTCAGCCTGATCAGGCCAAATTAAAAATTTCATTTAAGGTATAGCACTCAAACCACAACCTACCAAACTAACTGCCAATTTTCAACTGTACTAGGATTGGGATATTTCAGAGAATTGTTATTCAAGTTAACAAAGCTGATTCGATCTTCCAAGTTTGTACGCTCTCTCAATCTAGAGTTAGAATGTTACATGCTCTACATTGACAAACTGTCCGTACTGTGTTTTTTCATTTCTTTCCTCTAAGCTTTTAGAATTCTCGTTATTTTGGTTGCCTCGCTAAACTATATTGTTTTTCACAAGTGTCCAATTTCGATATCACTCTTGGACTTTGATGTGTTGTAGAGTACAAGGCTCACTGTATGTGTCACTGAAACTGTGTTTGTATGCTTGCAGACAAGCTCCAGGCCTGGTCCTGCTCTGGAGGATGACAAAGCAGTAGGGGCTGTAAGTATCTCGTTGCAGGCCTTTGAATAGCGAGTGAAAAAAGGCGAGGGGTTGGGGTCCCAGTCCCCAGCATTTTTATCACTCGCTGTTCTTTACTCTGCTCTCTAACTAAGCCATCGCCTGGAACATCTTAGAGCTGTAACTTGATTGGCCAACTCCACGCACCGTGTTATTATATCTAAATTCAAATTCATGGCAACGCCATGTTGAACTCTTTGCACCACATTGTGAACGTTCGTCAACCGCTGGGTACAAAACACGTAACCCACCATATTAATCACAACAATTTTAATTTTCTATAGAGGAGACCTCACTGGATGTAATAGATATGGTACATACATGAATGAAGCGTGTTAACTAAACTCGCATTTCAAAGAGCTTTAAGTTTGGCTCAAATGTCTTTATTTTGTATTCGTTTTTCGCTTAAAGCACTTTCTGTGCTCTCCTTTTTTTTGCTACAGTTGTTAGAGGCCGATGTGGTGGGCAGTACCCCTGAAGGCTTGGACGTCTTAGTTCATTCCGGCGGTGCGCCAGCATTTCTTCCAGTTACCCATTTGTCTGACCATCTGAGTAACTGTGAGGCTCTTCTTTCTGTGTACAAACCCTCAACTAGATTGACAAATGTTGTTTATTATGGCAAGAGCAAGGACAAGTCTATTGTATCCTAGTTTGTTCGTAATACATGTATATCACAAATTGCAGCTAATGACGTTTAGTAGGTTTGATATGAAACACGAGAAAAGAAGCGTTCTTATTTGGTTCGCCTTTGGGGAAATCTATCTTCCACAGCCCTCATTTTGAATGAGGATATCTTAAGGCTTCTATAAACCCAGATATATATCTAGACTTCAAAGACATCAGTGGGACCTATATGGCAACCTTTGAGCCTAGGGGTCTATGGGTGACTACTAGACGAGAATCACAACTAGAAAGAACGTGATAACCAAGTTTCAGTTCCCTGGAGTGTAAAAATAACATAGCTCTTCAGCAACTAAGAGTAGACGACCAAAATTAGGACCCATGGACCCCAGGTGCAAAGGACTTATCACTACAACATATTACAGATAGATCGTTTTCGTATTCACGGTATTGGACTGGAACTAGCTTGCAACTGAGGCTAATGCGGGAAGTCATTTCAAATGAATCTCTTTTTAATGATATTCCCTCACATGAGCCTCCATTTCACTCTGGCTAGTTTCATCCAATACCGAGAATACGAAATTGGTCTATTATTAATTATAGCTGTAACCAGTTTAGTAACGTGATCTTCCGAGCTTTCGTACATATGGCTAATTATTTTGACCTTTGTGATCATGCCATAGGCCAATGTCGATATATTAAAATTTCAACGTGGCTCCGAGGCTTTGGGGACTAAAACAATAGAAATCGCAACGACATTAAGGCACCAATAAACAATTTATTTTATTTTATTCCCCTACGTTTCGCCGCCATGTTAGACAGATGTAATCGAAATTTGTTGCATAAATTGTAAAGGTACATGACATTAAGTTTATTCCTTAACCCATACTTGTCACAGACGGTCTCTTTGAAGCCGTCTCTTGTGAAAGCAGCATCAGAGAAGAGCCTTCTGACCAACTTCAAGGACGTGGAGGTAAATATCAAATTAGTTCAACCACAGAGTTGGTGACTTGTTCATGGATAACAAGAATCCAAACAACTGAAAAGCTTGGGATTGACGTCTATGAATTTGTACTTTATTTGCTTACACGGACATGAATCTCAGGCTTAACTGAGTTTACAGATCGCTTCATGTATGGATGGCTTGCATGCGGAAAAGTTGAATCTTTTTAACTTTTTCCTTGGAAGCGAACCATCAATATTTCTATTTCGTTTTGCATGTACGTAAATAGACCTGTCCAATAAAATGACAGCAATTTGTGGAAGGGTGGGATGTAGAAAAGGTTGAAGAGCAATCAACTTTTGAAAAATATTTTGTATGTTATTGCATTTTCCTTTCCAGCTTACTTATATCAGTAATCTTTCCTTATAGGTGGGGATGATCTTGCCAGGTTTTGTCAAGAAAGTGATGAGTTATGGAATCTTCATCGAATTCTCTACAGGAATATTTGGCCTTGCTCCAAACTCTGTAAGTATAACAAAGATAGTTATTTAAAGCAATGTGCTTGCAGATGTTAGTACTTGCTTGCTCATGGTGATTTTGTAAGGTCACGCGTTAAAGTTGTACATTTTTCTTTGCCTCCAGGAAAAAGGATCATATGACGATAAATTATTGAGTAATTTTTCGTGATGTACAATGTTACTTCTGTAATGGAACTTGAAGAACTGAGACAGAAAAACCAAAAAGAAATAGAAAAAGAAGAAAGAAATAGGATGGTTAATGACTTTAAGATCGATATCCATCCCGTGGTTCCTTTTAGTGCACGCGTTTTCATTTTGATTTTACTATACTTCTAACTCCATATCCTTCATGTTTTGTTCAGTTTCTAGCTGATCAGTTTGTGTCTGAACCTGCAACACACTTTCAGACTGGACGGACAGTCATGGCAAAGGTTAGTAATGCTCAAATCACTTCACGTCCATTGTTAATCAATTAGATGATTGAATTTTCAAAATGGCCGTTTTGAAAAAGAGCGCAGCACTGTTGCCGTGGACGTCTTTCTTTCTAGTGTGTTTATCCTTAGTTCAACTTCTGACTCGTTACCAGTCGTCTTTTGAGAGACCATTGAATATTAACTAGGGAAGCGTGAGGGTTGCCTTCCCATCGTCCCCTTCGTTGCGTGCTACGCTTGACTCGTTTCCATCTCTCTCGCAAAATAAGAGACAAATAGGAGACGACTGGGGACGAATCAGAGGTTAACTCATTTTCTGTTAACTCGACAATGTTTTGATAATGTGACGGCAAATGAGATTTAATCGTTCTTGGAAAGTACAAATAATTGCGTGATTGTCCATGAAAAAATTTGATAAAATGATATTAATCCACACCAGTAGGTGTCTTCAAGGTCTACAATATAGGTACAACTTTGCATCCCTCTAACCTCACTCTAACCCCATTTTAGGTGACTGAAATTGATGTGGAGAGACAGAGATTTCTTGTCAGCCTAAAAATGTCGGACTGTTGCCCAGATCAGAGTACGGAAGGAAGCTCTGCGCCTGGTATGGAGTTGCTGGAAAGTTATGTCTCAGAGAGACGGCACATTATCCAGCAGCTGGCATCGAGTTCAGGTAAGACTTAAGGAGAAGTTCAGTATTGCTGTAGCTGACTCTCAATAAGAGCGATGACCTGGACCGAAATTATACGGTGATTATCTCGCTGAACGCAATTAACAAATACGGAAGCTCTGAATGTGGTGGTGATTTCATGTTTAATTAATTGTAAGGTAAGAGAGGATAACAGACCAAATGCCATCCCTGCAGTTTTTTCACTTTCTTCCGATGCATGTTTACTGTTGCTTTTAGTTCCCGAAATAATCCCATGAACACTAGCGTGGATGCTGTTGACTAATCTTGAAGTTCATCAGTGTCCAGTACCGCCCGGTGAAAATAATAATACCACATTATTCCAAAATATAACGTGACGTATTTGAAAAGGAAAACCCGGAGTTTAGCCCTATATAATGGTCCCCAGACTAGAAACATAACGTATATATACAAATACAGGCGAATCGACAAACACGTTGACACGTTTTATAAGAAGGGCGCTTCAGGTTTATTGCGTCGGAAATCAACGATTGGTAATAATCGAAGTTGGTGATGTATAGTGCTAATTGTTTTTTTTTTTTTACACACATATATCTCTTATGAAAGTCCGCCGTTTTAAGCTGGAACCACGGTACCTGAAGAAGAACAGTAAAACTGCCCGAAGCGTCGCGTTTTAAAAACATTTTTACCGCTGAAAAGTCCCTTGTAGAAGAGAATTTATTTTGTTTATTTTATACGTGAACACGGGAGGTTTTGAAAGTTTCAGAAAAAGTATTACTCTTATATCTCGCTTTAGGATTCCGAAAAAATTGATACCCTATATGCCCTATTGCGTTCTAAACTTGAGATTGTTCTGCTGTAATCTGAACGGCTCCAAGACCATACCATGTGCAGCAGCAAATACCCATAAATAGCTTTAGTAGGGAGTTATCCTGGGTCCTAAGGGCGCCATGATGTAGCAACTTTTAGCGGGTATACACAATGTAAATTAGAAACTTTCCAGGTGATTTGAGGAAGTTTTTTGGCCAATCAAGAATAATAATTAAAGTAATATTTAAACAACAGCTACAATATTGCCATTTTTTAATTTATTTTTTGTCTGTTTTGGCGTTTAACAGAGGAGATGAAGGTATTGACCTCCCTGAATCCTGGAGCCTGGGTTGAAGCAAAGGTGACGTAATATCGTATCTATAATAAACTATGCATATGCCAATTTATGTGAGAGAATAAAGGGTCATTGTAAATGGTTTGTGGTTAACTAAGAACAACAGCTCGGTGATGGCCATACCCGCTCCCAGTTAAACCTCGGCCTTGCCGTATTGACCTCGTTATCGCACGGTCAATACGGCAAGCGGGTCCGGCTCGGTCTGAGATTTTTCCGTAAAGACCTCACTCACGGTTAATAAGAAGCTATTATTATTATGATGGCCTGTGTTTGTAGCCGATATAACGCATCTCTCTCTCTCTTGGAGCTTTAATTGTATAATAAACTGCACTTACATGTATACCAGGGATGTAGATGTAGATGTAGCTAAGAGCTACATGTGGCTACTGGCTAATTTATCATGGATGTACCTGCTGACTCTTGTGAATGCCTTGGCCATGAACCTCAGGTCTGTGGGTCAGAAAACTTTGATCTCAAGCCCACTCCACCACGTCAGAGGACCAAAATCTCACATCTTCAATGTAGCTAGGATATTTGAGCTATTACAACCTTACATGTAACTTGCACATTTATAAAAAACATATACTGAGAGAGAGGACTTCAAGAGAAAGACATGTACATGCATGCTTTGGAAACAAGCTCATTGTGCACTGACATGTTGTCCACCTTTAGTACTTCATGTCTGTGCATACATGTACTTTTGTAACATTAATTTAACAAGAGGCAAAGAACTTTTAATAGATGTTTTAACCTAAAGTTAACAATTTTATCTTTGTTAGTGCATATGCCATTAATTAATTGAAGGGGTGAGGTCAGCCACAGGTATTTCATTAATATTTTACACACTCCCAGTCAATTGTACTATCCTAGGACTGAACTGGCAAACTCTGTATTAACCACTTTTGACCAAGGACATCACTGATGTTGTTGTTTAAGTTGTACACTTGCCTCTTCAATTAGGATGAAGTCTTGTCAGTTGAAAGCTCTTTTCTCCTTGATATTTCAAAGCTTCCTTTTAATTAACACTGACTAAATTCCCAACAGAAACTCTATGTGGGGATGAAAATTTTGGGAGCAATACGAGAAGTGAATGAATATGACATGGCCATCAGTCTGCCAAACGGACTGAGTGGATTTGTTCACATTACACATGTAAATGAGAAGATCACCGAAAGATTAAAGGAGGTGTTACAGGCTGATGACACAGACAGTAAAGAGACAGAGGCAAGATATGATTTTGAGTTTGTTAGTTTAGCATAATTTTTTGAGAGTAATGCAAGACACCATGATGATCATGAATCAATAATGATGACATTCGATCTGGCCAGGACATATCACTAGGAAACTTTTATGTACATGTACTGCTTTCTTTTGAGATTTCTAGACTGTCATGTACCAGTAGGTACATTGCACTATATAATTTTAAAAACATACAGTACATGTACATATGATAGGGCACGAGCCTTTATATTTAATTCTGTCTTGATCATAATGATTGTAGAGTCCAAGAAAAAAGAATCTTGTCAGAATCTGATCCTGGGGTCATGACATAATTAAAACTTTCTTGTTAATACTCTGCAAAGAAACTGGCATACAAGAAAGATAATAAATGAATGTCCTACAGTTTGTTTACATGTACATTAGAGCAACATAAATGTACAAACAACATATTAATCTATATCACTAAGTTGAACTCTCCCTAGCTATTCATAAATCAAAATATCACTAAGCACTACATGTACAATCATGTAATTTGTTCTTCTAGACTTTTGGAGAACAGCAATGATTACATGTAGCTGTATACATTTCATAAATAAACTAGCATTATCCTAGAATTCAACCACTTGGTTAGCTTGAAGGAAGATCACATGCTGGCACATGCTGGCTCAAATGTGACCCTGAAATTTCTGTGTCGCACTTTGTATTTGCAGACAACTAGTTTTCCAGAGCTTGCTAAATTCTTCACTGTTGGAACCCTGGTTCAGTGTTCAGTGTTGGAACTGGAAGGTTCCAAGCCTGGTCAAAAGAAAATCAAATTATCTTTGGATCCTAAAGGTGTTAACAGTGGGCTCAGCAAGTCATCTCTGAAGCCAGGAATGGTAGGCAGAAGAATATTTAAACAGTAATTAAAAGTTCTTCATGATTGTAATAATATTACTTTTTTATTTAAATCATACATGTACCCAGCAATTTGTCAGTTTGTCTTTTCTTACAGTTACAGTATATACCACAGTACTACTTTTCTTGGTCTATAATTGTATTTTCTTGTTTCAGTTAATTTATAGCATTTGAAGCACTATCATGACTTCCTGACTTGACTTGTCTTTTAAGAGGCATTTTTAATTAGTTTTGGTTAGTTTTGGTTTTTGTGATGCCTCATAATTGCAATCCACTAAACTTATTGGGAAATCAGTCGTTTGTATACTTGCATCTTGTACATGTATTGGTATACACAAACCATAAAAAATGTACTGTTTTATGTTCATCTTAATATGGAGCTAGAGTCATACTTGCACACCTCAGCATAAGAACTGTTATTTCTGTGGGAGTATAATACTCTTATTTATGCAGTGTGTATATATACATTCTACATGTAGCTACATTGTAATATACTGTCAAAGAGACAGCAGATCAGAGTTTCACAACTGAGAAAAATCATTAATTGCTGTGCTATCGCAGCAAACCCTTGCTAACCCTCCTCAGTCTTGACAGGGTTACAGAGATCTTGATGATGTTGTCAAGATCGAGAGGAGAAAATCTATATTGTTTTAACGGTTTAAAAAATACCTGAAGTGAAACAAATAAATAGTGAAATGACAATTAATTGTACTTTTTTCAGGTCCTTCCAGGTTATGTAAATAGTGTTGAAGACCATGGCTATCTCATATCATTTGACATTGAGAACACAAGAGCTTTTTTGCCAAAAAGAGAACTGAATGGAGGTATGGAGTTAAAATTGTAAGCTTTTAATTGATTATAGATCTGAAAAACTGAACACAATTTATCTGTGTTTATGATACAGAAATTAAAATTTATATAATTATGAAAATTAACTAATAAATAAATTTTAATTAAATGGGGTTTTTATCCAGAGTTTCAAGAAGGGCATTCCTTGTGCTTGTTGGTTANATTAGCGTGTAAAGAAGCTGTAAGTTGTGTTGTAGGCAAGTCCCAAAGTATTTATTTGCACATTATTTCTGTCAGGTTAACTAAATGCCATTAAAGATATCAATAATACTAACAATATGTGTACTGTATCTGCTTTGAGCATATGCGTAGCAGTTTGCTTAGTCGAAGTGTGGCTCTTGAATCTAATTAGGGTTTCTGTCTTAAACAGTGGCTAACTAATCGTTATCAAATCATGCTGATAATTCACACCATAGAATTTTTGTCGTATTTTTGGAATGAACAGGATTCCAGCTGATACTGATCCTCGAAGTGCGTTCTACATTGGTCAAGTGATGTTGTGCCATGTCGTCAATTGTCAGCCTGATCAGGCCAAATTAAAAATTTCATTTAAGGTATAGCACTCAAACCACAACCTACCAAACTAACTGCCAATTTTCAACTGTACTAGGATTGGGATATTTCAGAGAATTGTTATTCAAGTTAACAAAGCTGATTCGATCTTCCAAGTTTGTACGCTCTCTCAATCTAGAGTTAGAATGTTACATGCTCTACATTGACAAACTGTCCGTACTGTGTTTTTTCATTTCTTTCCTCTAAGCTTTTAGAATTCTCGTTATTTTGGTTGCCTCGCTAAACTATATTGTTTTTCACAAGTGTCCAATTTCGATATCACTCTTGGACTTTGATGTGTTGTAGAGTACAAGGCTCACTGTATGTGTCACTGAAACTGTGTTTGTATGCTTGCAGACAAGCTCCAGGCCTGGTCCTGCTCTGGAGGATGACAAAGCAGTAGGGGCTGTAAGTATCTCGTTGCAGGCCTTTGAATAGCGAGTGAAAAAAGGCGAGGGGTTGGGGTCCCAGTCCCCAGCATTTTTATCACTCGCTGTTCTTTACTCTGCTCTCTAACTAAGCCATCGCCTGGAACATCTTAGAGCTGTAACTTGATTGGCCAACTCCACGCACCGTGTTATTATATCTAAATTCAAATTCATGGCAACGCCATGTTGAACTCTTTGCACCACATTGTGAACGTTCGTCAACCGCTGGGTACAAAACACGTAACCCACCATATTAATCACAACAATTTTAATTTTCTATAGAGGAGACCTCACTGGATGTAATAGATATGGTACATACATGAATGAAGCGTGTTAACTAAACTCGCATTTCAAAGAGCTTTAAGTTTGGCTCAAATGTCTTTATTTTGTATTCGTTTTTCGCTTAAAGCACTTTCTGTGCTCTCCTTTTTTTTGCTACAGTTGTTAGAGGCCGATGTGGTGGGCAGTACCCCTGAAGGCTTGGACGTCTTAGTTCATTCCGGCGGTGCGCCAGCATTTCTTCCAGTTACCCATTTGTCTGACCATCTGAGTAACTGTGAGGCTCTTCTTTCTGTGTACAAACCCTCAACTAGATTGACAAATGTTGTTTATTATGGCAAGAGCAAGGACAAGTCTATTGTATCCTAGTTTGTTCGTAATACATGTATATCACAAATTGCAGCTAATGACGTTTAGTAGGTTTGATATGAAACACGAGAAAAGAAGCGTTCTTATTTGGTTCGCCTTTGGGGAAATCTATCTTCCACAGCCCTCATTTTGAATGAGGATATCTTAAGGCTTCTATAAACCCAGATATATATCTAGACTTCAAAGACATCAGTGGGACCTATATGGCAACCTTTGAGCCTAGGGGTCTATGGGTGACTACTAGACGAGAATCACAACTAGAAAGAACGTGATAACCAAGTTTCAGTTCCCTGGAGTGTAAAAATAACATAGCTCTTCAGCAACTAAGAGTAGACGACCAAAATTAGGACCCATGGACCCCAGGTGCAAAGGACTTATCACTACAACATATTACAGATAGATCGTTTTCGTATTCACGGTATTGGACTGGAACTAGCTTGCAACTGAGGCTAATGCGGGAAGTCATTTCAAATGAATCTCTTTTTAATGATATTCCCTCACATGAGCCTCCATTTCACTCTGGCTAGTTTCATCCAATACCGAGAATACGAAATTGGTCTATTATTAATTATAGCTGTAACCAGTTTAGTAACGTGATCTTCCGAGCTTTCGTACATATGGCTAATTATTTTGACCTTTGTGATCATGCCATAGGCCAATGTCGATATATTAAAATTTCAACGTGGCTCCGAGGCTTTGGGGACTAAAACAATAGAAATCGCAACGACATTAAGGCACCAATAAACAATTTATTTTATTTTATTCCCCTACGTTTCGCCGCCATGTTAGACAGATGTAATCGAAATTTGTTGCATAAATTGTAAAGGTACATGACATTAAGTTTATTCCTTAACCCATACTTGTCACAGACGGTCTCTTTGAAGCCGTCTCTTGTGAAAGCAGCATCAGAGAAGAGCCTTCTGACCAACTTCAAGGACGTGGAGGTAAATATCAAATTAGTTCAACCACAGAGTTGGTGACTTGTTCATGGATAACAAGAATCCAAACAACTGAAAAGCTTGGGATTGACGTCTATGAATTTGTACTTTATTTGCTTACACGGACATGAATCTCAGGCTTAACTGAGTTTACAGATCGCTTCATGTATGGATGGCTTGCATGCGGAAAAGTTGAATCTTTTTAACTTTTTCCTTGGAAGCGAACCATCAATATTTCTATTTCGTTTTGCATGTACGTAAATAGACCTGTCCAATAAAATGACAGCAATTTGTGGAAGGGTGGGATGTAGAAAAGGTTGAAGAGCAATCAACTTTTGAAAAATATTTTGTATGTTATTGCATTTTCCTTTCCAGCTTACTTATATCAGTAATCTTTCCTTATAGGTGGGGATGATCTTGCCAGGTTTTGTCAAGAAAGTGATGAGTTATGGAATCTTCATCGAATTCTCTACAGGAATATTTGGCCTTGCTCCAAACTCTGTAAGTATACCAAAGATAGTTATTTTAAAGCAATGTACTTGCAGATGTTACCACTTGTCTGCTCATGGTGATTTGGTAACGTCACGTGTTAAAGCTGTACACTTTTCTTTGCCTGCAGGAAAAAGGATCATATGACGATATATTATTGAGTAATTTTTCGTGACGAACAATGTTACTTCTGTAATGGAACTTGAAAAACTGAGACAGAAAAACCAAAAAGAAAGAAATAGGATGGTTAATGACTTTAAGATCGGTATCCATCACGTGGTTCCTTTTAGTGCACGCGTTTTCATTTTGATTTTACTATACTTCTAACTCCATGTCCTTAATGTTTTGTTCAGTTTCTAGCTGATCAGTTTGTATCAGAACCTGCAACACAGTTTCAGACTGGACGGACAGTCATGGCAAAGGTTTGTAATGCTCAAATCACTTCACTTCTATTATTAATCAAGTAGATGATTGAATTTTCAAAATGGCCGTTTTGAAAAAGAGCGCAGGACGGTTGCCGTAGACGTCTTTCTTGCCAGTGTGATTATCCTTAGTTCAACTCCTGACTCGTTCCCAGTCGTCTTTTGAGAGACCAATGAATATAAACGAGGGAAGCGCGAGGGTTGCCTTCCCATCGTTCCCTTCGTTGCTTGCTATGCTTGACTCGTTTCCATCTCTCTCGTAAAATAAGAGACAAATAGGAGACGACTGGGGACGAATCAGAGTTCAACTAATTTTCTGTTAACTTGACAATGTTTTGAAAATGTGACGGCAAATGAGATTTAATCGTTCTTGGAAAGTGCAAATAATCGTTGTCTGCATTATCTGAAGTAGTTATTTGAATCTTTTATAATTGTCCATGAAAAAATTTAATAAAATGGTATTAATCCACACCAGTACGTGTCTTCAAGGTCTACAATATAGATACAACTTTGCATCCCTCTAACCTCACTCTAATCCCATTTTAGGTGACTGAAATTGATGTGGAGAGACAGAGATTTCTTGTCAGCCTCAAAATGTCGGACTGTTACCCAGATCAGAGTACGGAAGGAAGCTCTGCGCCTGGTGTGGAGTTGCTGGAAAGTTATGTCTCAGAGAGACGGCACATTATCCAGCAGCTGGCATCGAGTTCAGGTAAGACTTAAGGAGAAGTTCAGTATTGCTGTAGCTGACTCTCAATAAGAGCGATGACCTGGACCGAAATTATCCGGTGATTATCTCGCTGAACGCAATTAACAAATACGGTGGAAGCTCTGAATGTGGTGGTGATTTCATGTTTAATTAGTTGTAAGGTAAGAGAGGATAACAGACCAAATGCCATCCCTGCAGTTTTTTCAGTTTCTTCCGATGCATGTTTACTGTTGCTTTTAGTTTCCGAAATAATCCGGCCCATGAACGCTAGCGTGGATGCTGTTGACTAAACTTGAAGTTCATCAGTGTCCAGTACCACGCGGTGACAATAATTATAATACCGCATTATTCCAAAATATAACATGACGTATTTGAAAAGGAAATCCCGGATTTTAGCCCTATGCAATGGTACCCAGACTAGAAACATAACGTATATATACAAATACAGGCGAATCGACAAACACGTTGACACGATTTATAAGAAGGGCGCTTCAGGTTTGTTGCGTCGGAAATCAACGATTGGTAATAATCGAAGTTGTGATGTATAGTGCCAATTGCTTTTTAGATGCAAAATCCTCACGCACATATATCTCTTATGAAAGTCCGCCATTTTGAGCTGGAACCACGGTGCCTGAAGAAGAGCAGTAAAACTACCCGAAGCGTCGCGTTTTAAAAACATTTTAACCGCAGAAAAGTCCCTTGTAGAAGAGAATTTATTTTGTGTATTTTATACGTGAACATGGGAGGTTTTGAAAGTTTCAGAAAAAGTATTACTCTTATATCTCGCTTTAGGATTCCGAAAAAATTGATACCCTATATGCCCTATTGCGTTCTAAACTTGAATTGTTCTGCTGTAATCTGAACGGCTCCAAGACTATACCATGTGCAGCAGCAAATACCCATAAATGGCTTTAGTAGGGAGTTATCCTGGGTCCTAAGGGCGCCATGATGTAGCAACTTTTAGCGGGTATACACAATGTAAATTAGAAACTTTCCAGGTGATTTGAGGAAGTTTTTTGGCCAATCAAGAATAATAATTAAAGTAATATTTAAACAACAGCTACAATATTGCCATTTTTTAATTTATTTTTTGTCTGTTTTGGCGTTTAACAGAGGAGATGAAGGTATTGACCTCCCTGAATCCTGGAGCCTGGGTTGAAGCAAAGGTGACGTAATATCGTATCTATAATAAACTATGCATATGCCAATTTATGTGAGAGAATAAAGGGTCATTGTAAATGGTTTGTGGTTAACTAAGAACAACAGCTCGGTGATGGCCATACCCGCTCCCAGTTAAACCTCGGCCTTGCCGTATTGACCTCGTTATCGCACGGTCAATACGGCAAGCGGGTCCGGCTCGGTCTGAGATTTTTCCGTAAAGACCTCACTCACGGTTAATAAGAAGCTATTATTATTATGATGGCCTGTGTTTGTAGCCGATATAACGCATGCTCTGATTCCAGGTCTCGTTTTCAGATTTTCCCGTTAAGACATTAGTAGTTACTAATAATTCTTAGTGCTGAGCCGAGACCGGTAGGCGCTCACTACATATACAGTGATCATATTCACTTTACAATAGCTCCTATAACATTAACATCTCTATGTCATTCCTTTCATCAGGTTCTCCATGTAAAATTTCAAGGCATCTTATTGCAGCTTGCAGAGGGTGTACAAGGCTTTGCTCCCAACCAGCTGGCAAAAGGTATAACACTATCTGAGAGTTTAGCGTTTGGATTATTGTACTCATGTGCACCATGTTCTGTTGTTAATCTGTTAGCCGTCCTTGTTACAGCTGTTTAGCGTTTCTGTTAAGATTGATTTGATTGACTGAATGGAACAAAAACTGGTTTGGCAAGTCTTGTAACTGTACCAAGAGATTTCCTCACTGTTTTTATCTCATTAACAATTACTTCATCTCTACAAACGTGCACGTCTGCATGTGGCCATACCAATTTAGCGTTCTTTCTACAATAACTCCTCCCTCGTAAAATACAACCGGTTTGAGTTTCTTGTTGTTTATATGGGTTCTTCGTTTTTTCTCTACTGTTCATAGTTAGAGCATGACTTTTGTCCCGAAAAACCCCAACCATAATTAACAATTAAGCTAAATTCGAAGGAAGTGGTCCCTCGAATTTGCTGTGTTATATCATAAGAGTACATGACATAAGAGTTGTATGTCTGAGTCAATGTCAAGTTGTTTTCTGTTGTTTAAAGGAGTCAGCTGCGAGCCAGGCGAGGTTGTGTTTGGCTGTGTGTTGGACTGGGATTTGGACAAGAAATTAGTGGTAGTATCCTTAACCCCAGAGCTAGTAGCAGAGAGGAAGGCTGTGGAGGCTCATAAAGGGAAGCAAAAGAAGGTAAAGCTGTTGATGATTGTGCGAACAAAACGGGGAAACGCCAAGGTTGAAGACACATGTAGTGTGAGATCTTACACTGCTGTTACTTACATCGTCACACAAGATTCCTTACAAGTTTCGTTAATGTTAAGGTTTTACGTGACCTGTTTTCTAACCTTTAGCTTTTGTCATGTTGCAGCTGAGAAGTGGACGAATCATTGATGCTTGTGTTCAGCTGATCAGAGATAACTACATTATAGTCACGCTTCCTCAACATAACTACAGGCTGGCTTACGCTCCAACTAAGCTGGTGAGGATTCTAATGTGTTGTAAGGCTTGTACCAAGAACGTTCTCTTGAAAATGAAATTTCGATTTATTAGGCAATCTATGCAGTCATGCCGAGCTCACGACAACTCGGTTTACAGCCGTTGTACCATCCAAGCTGTAGTGCCTTCCGGGGCCTGGGTAACAAGACTGGATAGCAAAGAGGTTATTCAGCCTTCTTTGAATTTTTGTTACGCGACAAGCAGTAATAGGGGACTTAAGATTTGAGTACGAGTACGAAATCGAGTATGAGAACAACTTTTCAGTTCTAGTTTGCAGGCTCCACATTATCACGTCACTTACCAGTCTTATCCCAGGAGCTATCCTCTCTACCTAAAACCACTGTGCAGTGCTAGGGCTCTGGAAACGTCACTGGTTTGAAATTCGAAAATCCTACTCGTACTCAATCTCTTACTGGTAGTCCAGTCTAAAGCTCCCTTTTATGTCTCGTTTATTGTCGACCCAAAAGCAAACACATGTTAATATAAATATAACAACTAAAAACTAGTAGTGAGCGTTCAGTCATGATTTTATTTTTAGGCAAATCATGCCGATGGTTTTTGTTTATATGCAGGTTGAAAAAGAGGTTTATGCGGTGCGATGAATGTGTTTTTGTTTTTGTGTTGTTTCGTAGCATTTGAATGATATCCGGGATGCGTCCAAGCGATTTGCGGTGGGGCAACAATATTCCTCTGTTGTTCAAAGGTATGGTGTATGACAACTTTTTTAGCAAATACCTGGCTTAATGTTGCGAGTTATTTATAAAGTGTTCTCAGGCTCAAGTAGCCTGTGTAGCTGGCGGGATTTTGAGAGCCACGTGTCGTTACTCGCCTATCTATCTATCTCGAGTATCGGGGATTTCAAAGTTGATACCTGCAATAGATCGTAAGGGCCGATTCACAAGGTTCAACGCTGCAACCTGGGACAGGCCTATAACATTTCTACGACAGGAACTGTCTAGGCAACCTTACCACAATTGGAGCCACATACAATGATGAAAGTTTTACACCATTATTCCATGACGTTAGTTGTTTAATTGACAGCTGGGCGTAAGAATAGCCAGGCCAGGACTACTTTACATCGTAATTTCTTGTTTAAAGATCGAAGGCTTTCAATAACTGTAGAACGATCTCTGTGCGTGTTGTTTCTTTTGTTGTTAGGCTAGGTAAGCCGGAAGACGGTATATTACCTTTGGTGTCACTTCAAGAAAAACACATTGAAAAGGAAAATGTGATACCTGGAGCTATTACCACAGCGCAGTAAGTCAGCACGGCGCATAAATTGATACACATAATTGTCACTTCTAACCTCATTTTACAGAGTAGCTGATACACTGATACAATTTAAAGTGGAGGTAATAAACTAGAAGAAAAAAGGAACTCTGTTAATTAAAGTTCGATTTGTTGCTCGTCATGTTACGTGCAGTTCTTATAGCTCCCATAGTTCTCATGGCTCCCACAGTGATTAAGAGGCGGCGTGACCGAGTGTATCAGGGCGCGTAAGTTGAAATTTGGAGGTCTCTGGTTCAAATCCTTCAACCTACCACTGTGTGGATTTGTTCTCGGTAGTCCCGAGTTCAACTCCTCGACCGCGTTGTGTAAATAGCCAACTGGTCAGCCTCCCACCAGTTGGGATTCTTGATTGTTTATGTTTTATTTGAAATATTTGTTTATTGATTTACAGTGTCCCCAACTAGCACAACAGTGCTAAATACTTTTGACACTTAAATAAAGTTATTTACTTTTCGTTTTATTTATTGATTGAAAGTTGCGAAGTTGGGGAGAGGGGGGGTCGGAAAGGTAGGTTAAGGTCATTCCATTGAAATAGAGGGGGGGTCACGTTCGACGAAAATTATTGTCGCATTCAATAGCCAAGTATCTATGCCAAAATCATATTTGAGAGGCAAATAATCGGGTTCTACTATTGTTAGTTCGACTAGTGATGTACTTCTATTTTGTAGGGTGAAGTCAATTAAGGATCTTCAAATGAACGTCAATCTGTGCGGTGGAAAATTTCATGGAAGAGTTCACGTCACACAAATTTGTGATGACGTAATAGAGGTGAGAATATTGAAGTGCTCTCGCACAGCGATTGATCTTTGTGATGTCAGTAAGAAAGACCGTTAGTTAAGTATGAGTTGTTGAAAGTGCTTTAATCTTAATTTTCGCTCGGACAACTAGAGGATCTGTTACAGTGCTCCGTACTAACACAAGAAACATCAGGTTATCAATAGAACAATTTCGATACGCATTGCCCTCATTAGGGATTAAAAAGAGGAAAACGAGAATGTCCTTCATCGTGACGCAAACCAGTAATAGGACAGAATATCCTGAATTGAGAGCACTCGAATAAGCCATTACCCCTTTGGTACAAACTAAACGAGCCCATCTGTCTGATATACGACCGTCAATTCGCCATGTTGATGACGCAGCTGGCAGCTCAGAACAGTGTGGTGCTTTCGTCTAATTGGTTTTCAACAGCGCATGAACATTCAAATCGACCAATAATAGACACCACACGGATCCGTGAGATCCACGTTATCAGTATGTAATCGCAGACCTGAAAAATGTGCGCGCGAATGCCTGTGTCCTCAGACTATGAATTATTATGTGCAAGATTTTTCAGACATTGTTGATTCAAATTTCAGGGAGAATCACCACTGAAGGCCTTCCATAATGGAGACAAAGTACAGGTCAAAATTCTTGGATTTCGAGACACAAAGACACACAAGTACGTTCTCAGTTTATGTTGTCTGTTCTGATCTCAATATATTATCGTGTATTCCACATCTAGGATGATCCGGAACTTAACTTGTCAATTCCTTCGAAAGGAGTAAAGAAAACCCGAAAGACCAGATTTAAAGATAAGAGCTTATCAGGTTACTCTAGATGGAAGCAAAGGAGGATCATTAGTGAGAAAGTGAAGTGTTGTGTATTTTACGGAGTACCTTGTTGCAGAATAGGTTGTTACATAATTATTATTGCCAGCATTTGAATGTATAGCTTTAGATTAACTTACATGTAAGTTGTCCAATCTCTTATTTTCTTAAATATTTTTCTTTTCCTGTTATCTTTGCAAGGTTTTTACCAATAACGCACAGAAATTTCACCAAAGCAGTGGCTGAGCTTACCATGAAACCAAGGTAACGATCGATCACGATCGCTGTATGTGTGAGTGTCTGCTGTGTCTTGAACTTTGATTAAAATAAGAACTTTTATTGGATTTGAAGCAAAAAAGAATGATTGCGAGCAGCCATGTTGTATGTAACTGTAACTTTGAGAAACGTCAATTGAAAGTAATTTGACTATCGTCAGGAGAAAGTGGTTCCTTTTATACTTCTATACTCTTTTATGCTTATTGGGTTTTCCTCCCAAAACTCGATCTGCGCATTGTTCATGCTCTCACTTGTAAAGGTCGCGTCTTATCCATCTTTGTCGCGAATTACATGTGTCTGATTGGCGACCATTGGTTTTTCGTAATGCTGTAATAATCGTACAACGTCACGTTTTTAACCAATCGAAACTAGCATACTGATTTTGTAACCAATCAGAAGTAAAATCAAACGTGACTTGTCGTAAGTCCCATTTTCCCACGCAAAGCACCAGTCGCACGTTTTGCCATCGTGTTCTGATTGCTTTATTCCGGTATTTGCGCGTATTGTGATTGGTCGGATGGGATTTCTTTGCCTTTGGAATGAGTGTGATTAGCCTTTGTGATAACCTTGATTCTATTTTCGCGATGACGACGACGACGGCCAGGAAACCGCTCAAATAACTTCAAACGGTGCTGCCGTTACTCTTTTAATCACTGTTTTATCCTTATGTAAGTGAATATATGAACGATCTTTCTTAGTAACTAAGATTACTCGTTTTAACAGTGAGTTGTCGACAAATAGCGCTGAACAACAGAGTGCACCAGCTGATAGCAGTGAAGGAATAGAGGTCGACAAGAAACTTGTGGAGTACAAAGTTGGCGAAGAAGTTAATTGCTACGTGAAGTCGGTATGTTTAACTGGTTGGTTGGTTGTTTTGATTTTTCTATATGCTTGGTTGAATACAGATGTTTTCCTCCATTATATGTAGCTTTAACAGTGACCACGTTATTCAGGGGACTAGATACCCCAAATGATACCCTCCGTCGCTGTTTGCTTCTTGTTTCCAAATCAGTTTGAACCTTAATATTATTTAACACGTTTTAAGTGCCAACCTTGAATCAAAATTGGCGGCTTGAAAAATGGTCAGGATGCCAAAGACTGTCGATGGAAGATAATGTCTAGCCGGATTGAGCAATCCCACATTTCATTCCAAAGAATGGCCATGTTAAAGTGCAAACAAGGCCTTGATGTTTGCTCGGACAGTGATAAGAGAAATAGAGAGTGAAAGTGCGGTTCAGTAGCTCTCACTTGAATAGTCACGCACGAGGATTTACAGACTTAAAGATTAATGGTTGTTAAAATTCTGCTTCAGCCAGTGAAAGATCTGTTTTCAACGTTTTCCTCATCAGATGAAATATAAACTACAATTTTCCAATATAGAAAAACTTGCATCCTAGGCGGTCCACAGCTAATTGAGACAATGAGAAGTTGGGCAAGATAAATTTAGTTTACAATTTTTCCTGATCAGTTTTTTTGCACTGTCTGCTTACCGTCCACTCGTTTGTTGCTCTCCGGATTGTTTACCATAGACTACGAGTAGTCCCTCTTTCGCTTAGTCCGTCGTTCGTGACGCGAAAGAAAACCACGCGGAAAAATGGCTGCCCTTCTCGCCCCCTGGATTTCGCGTGGATATTTTTTCCTCGAAGTTTATTTACACGCTCGATGGACTAAGCGAAAGCGGGGCCAGTCGTAGTCTACGTTCTTCACTTGGTTTTGGAGCATTCACTGAACAGGTACTCACATTCAAAACTCCACACTTTAGGCTATAGAGTCGTTCATTTTGTGCCTGTTTTTGGTTCTGTTCCTACAATCTTGAATGGCCTCAAACGAAACTTTTCAATGCAATTTGTAGCTGATGTAATAAAGTGATGTGGGTTTTGATGTGGTTCTTCCTAGGCCTCGGAACATTGTGTGTGGATGATGGCGAGTCCGTCTGTCAATGGGAGAGTTGTGCTGTTGCACGCGTCATCTGATTTGGAGGTATGGTTCAGGGCCGATCGCGTGACAATACTTTCTACTTCTAGTTAAATCTATTAAGCGATAACAGCGGTATTCAGTCATCAGGAATTTTATCCAGATGCTAACAGCAAGCTGGAAGTCATCTTCACACAAGGACACATCTAAAACTATGAAACGTAAATTTTAGGATAGTTTTTCTCAGCCTACTAAAAGTTATACATTGTTATAAACCAAAGAAATCTATACTTTCTTTGTCCCTTAGCCGTCATCCTTCAGAACCTACCTTTTGTTTAAGCTTTATCTTAAATCATCAAACATCTCTTGAACGATTCTCGTGTTATTTTACAAGCTAATGTGTGTGTTGTATGGGTAGGTGTTAAGGTCGCTCAAGACTCATTTCAAGCCGGGAGATGCCTACAGATGTGTCGTGTTGAGCGTTGACGGAGAAAGACGTTTGCTGGATCTTTCCCTGACCGGTGAGAACAGCTAAACTGGCTTACAATGTCATGTGTATGGTAGCTTTACACTGGATTTTTGTCTCGTGTCGAGAAAAGTGAAGGGTAAGAGAGTTAATTTCACATATAGACCTTAATTTAAAGTTGTCTCTCTCAAGTTATTTTTAGACATGGTACTCAGTTCTTCCGCGGATAATGTTATCACGCGCGTTGCGTGGATGTTTTCGTGGAGGATGAAAATACGTGTAAAAACCGTTTGGGCTGTTCACATGAGTACAATCCGCTCACAGGATCGGTTATTTTGAGACCCTGCTGTGATTTCCAAAATCGGGAATGATCTCGCAATAACTCGAGAGGGATTTCTTTTGGAATAAGGCCTATATGGGAGATTAACTATCTTTTACTCTTCATCCTCTCTCACTAGAGTGTATTTGCAATCTGCTTTGGATATTAACAAATGAGAATACAGTTTTTGTCTCTCTGTGGCTGGGCAAGGAAAACCAAAAGCAGGTAAATGCGTGAAGTCAATTTAACGCGCCTGCCAATGGTTACATGTGGTCCTGGTTTGTTTGAGGCACTGTAAAGGGTTCTTAGAGATCGTCTTTGTTCAAGCTTCGGCTTTAATTTCAAAGCCGCCGTGTGTGTTTTTCGGGAGTTTATTTTGTAGGCATTTCCAGTTTTTCAGCGGCGATATAAAAATCAGAATATTAATTCTAAAAGGAATTGTACCAAGAAAACTCGTAGTTTCCCTTTGCGTTGATGAAACCGAAGGACTCTGTAGAGAAACTGGTGAAATAGTATTGTCAAACTTTCTTTATGTATCTTGTTCCTCACACTTAAATACACGATATACATAATTCATATGGGTACTGCTTTGGCTGAGCTCTGTTTGCTGGGTAATAAAACTCAACACTCCCAAGTGGGATATATTTGTCACAGGTGTGGCCGTTTATTTTGATAGCAAGCTTAGAAAGCTTAAATTACAAACATGCCAAATTATTAGCCCAGCAAAGGTGAGGGAGAAACCTCCAAAGCCCGCCATGAGGAACAAGTGAAAGGGCAGCCCCACCCGAAACCAAAGCAACCCACAAGATGAAGGAGTATGGGAAGTGATCGCTGAACTAGCAAAGAAGACTGAATAAACGGTGACAAACATGTCCTGAAGTTACCACTAAGAAACAGAATGCTGTGAACATACACAAATGAACTAACGGCAAATCCACATGACACGTGCTTGCTGTCTGCGTAACTGCCAAAATTATAAACAACTTGCATCACAACCCACTACCTTACACCATTGTCCGCAGTTACATTCCCCACAAGGAGCCAAAAAAGTGTTTCAAATTCCGAGAAGTCGCAAAAAAACCATAAGTGAGATTACACCAAACTATTAATATTGAAAGCATGTTGTACGTGTTCAGCTGTCATGAACGTGTCTCGTGCAACAGAGCTCCACCATGTAGATTGGCCCGAAGAGAGCTGGGCAACCACATACTAGATCTCTAGTATGTAAACAGAGGCCCGAGAAAACGTCCCACAAAAAACCTTGTAGGAAAGAATTGGTGAGGCAGGAGCCATGGCTCAAGCTCTAGCCCCTCCTGCAAGGCATAAACGTATGTTAAAATGATAATTAACTGCGTTATACCAGCTTTTAAGCTAGCGTGTTTGTAGCATTATAATAACCAGTAACCAGTGTTACAAAGAAATAGTATTGCTAAACTTTCTTTTCTGTACTTCACTGTGAAGTGATCACTTTAAATTCAAGAGAAAACCAAACGTTAAATTACCCTGTCATATACATTATTTCTCCAGTCAAAGCTGATTCTGCCGTTGAGGCTGACCAGTTATTAGTTGGGCAGGTTACCAAGATTCTTCCCGACCAAGGACTCCTCGTTCGGCTACCGATGTACAAATGTGGCTTGGTTGCTCTGACAGACCTCAGGGACAGCTATGTTGAAAATCCTTTGGAAAACTTTGAAGTCATGCAGCTCGTAAGGTACGCCGTTACTTTTCTAGCGAATTGGATTTTGTACTTTTGGATTTTTAAGAGGGAAATAAATGATGAAGATGAAGTAAATGTACCCACGTAACACCGCAAATGTTTCGGTAACACGCATGGTGCGAGACTTCAGGCAACGCTGTATTTCATGGTATTCATTATTGCTGCACAGAGAAGTGTCACGCTACTCTTGTTGCATTAGAGGTTAGGTGTTGGGTTTGGTGCGGGACAAAAATCCGAGCATCCCAGTTAACCCTTTGAATACCAAACTTTCGCCAAAAAATACCGTTTTTTACCGTTTAGTCAGTTTTTTGGCTGCCATGACGCTAAATAAGCCTAACTTTTGCTGAGATAGCTTTTTTTTTTTTTTACCATAAGGAAAGATTGTTCGAGGATTACGTACAAAATTGAGCAATATTTAAATTCCGGTCATGCGCATAAGCCAAAATTTGGACTTTTTTTTGCCATTACCCGTTCTCAATTTTGTTTGTTGCCCCTTTCCTTTCTTTTTTTTTCTCGACCCGTTTACTCTGGCTACCTTTTGCGTTGCATGTTCTCTCTGGCTGCCGTGAAAAGTTGGATGTTAATTACGGGCGAAGCCTAGAAATGGACCTTGATCAGT